GATTAGCAAGGAACAAAAGGAAAACAAAGACACACTCTCTCTCCCTCTCAAAGGCTTCGGCCTTCTCCCCAAGGAACAAGCACCCACAAGAAAAACCAACCTCTCTTCCTCCCATCTAAGGCTTCGGCCATTCACATGTTAAGGGTAAGGGAACATCAAAAATAGTTTCTAGCCTCCTTCATCGTCTAACTCGTCGAGGTGGACACTTAGAAGAACTCGTGAAACATAGAAGCAGGAGTGACATATCGGTGGAAGAATCACCATCAAACATCATCCTTGAGGTAAGGTCCCTTAGACTCCATGTTTAAGTTATGATCTCTCTCTTAAATATTTTCGTGTTATAAAGGCTAAAGGAATACAAACCTTATTCCCTCATTCAATTCTTAAGGACTAAAAGAAAGGAAAACCTTGTGGGATTTACATGTTAACCGAAATGTTAGAATGCTATGCATAAACTATGTTGTTAGAATCATTTACTAAGACCTACATCCTAAAGGGGCCGAACCTATATGTGAGTTATAAACCAAGTGAGTTTTTAGAATCATCTCTAAAGTCTCATTATGTTATTAGGACGAACCAAAGGTGCAAGGGAAGACTAGAGACGAACTCGAACTCTTGAAGAATAAAAAGACAAGACCCCTGTGTAAGTGATTTATGGTTGTTGAAGCGGCTACCCTATGGTTGCCACCCCTTTATGTTAAAGTGAGGTTTGACTGCAATATGTTATATGATGCATTACATGATATGTTTGGTTGTTTGGAACTAATGTTTATTCATGCAAGTTTTGTAAGATGGCCTGTGCACTAATACCACAGAGGCAACCTGACGAGGACCCTGGGTATTCGTCCATAAGACCATGGAGAGTAATTGCCATGGCAGGATTGGTATGATGATATGAAAGCATGATTATTTTCCAAACTATGTTTCCAATGTTTTTCCATTCTATTATTGTACATGTTATTATGTGACTATTGCAGGAGTAAGCATCATGGTTTGGAGGTTGCTCCAACTGTGAGTCCTTACCGAGACCCCCAATCTCACCCCTATTTGGGGAAACCCATTTTCAGGTAAAAATGACCAAATGGGTAAGGCAGGGTAAGAGGTTGGTACGAGTTGAAGAGGAACCTGCGCAACCACGTGCAGATAAAGTTGATAATACACCATCCCTTGTAGATAGAGTTCTTACTCTAATATTTGAAAGAAAGCGGGAACTGGCAAACTATATTATGGATCAGGAGATGGAATCCCTATGGATTGAGGGTACACCTTACTAAAGATGCACTAAAGATTTTAATTTGGATGACTGTAATAGACTATGCCACTTAGACTATTTTGAACATCTTATATGCCTTTGAAGTACGATATTTTGGGATGTTTATGTTTTATGGACTATGAATTTAGTAGGGAAGATTAAGTAACATAAGCCACTATCCGCATAAGACACTTAAGTAACTACCTACTGGGTAGTAGTCAACACTAAAATTATGATCATGTAAGTGAGCCCTTAAAATAACGCATAAGTATAAGTAGGGTAACCAAGTAGAGATTAATTTGTAAGTAGACCGTAGACAAAGAAAAAGAGAAACTCATGACTAGAGAAATAGATAAGTTAGGGAAAAGAACGCAACTAATTCCCATTAGTAAATTTTAAGTTAACCACGCTCAAGTACATGGATTCCGCGCATTGAACGTCAAGCAATGTTACACCTTTGATGACCATATTAAGGGTGTTACATTCCTCAAGCTCCTATGGAGGTAGAAATTCCCAAAACCCCAAAATCTCACAAAGGGCCGAATTTTTGAGAGGCAATATCTCTCTCCACAATGCTCCCCACTCAAAACAAGGCTAGGATTATGAAAGAGGAGAAGATTTAGAGTGGTTTAGGCTTTTGAATCACTCCAATCGGTTAAGATTTGCTCTCTCACTCTCTCTTTCCCTCCTTCTCCTTCTTCTTCCTTTCTTCTCCTCTCTGATGCTGGCTCGACGGGGAAATGGGGGGCTTGGGTTCTTTTTTTTTGTTTTATGCCACTTAACCTTATGTTAAGTGGTTTTAATTGGGTATCGGTTCGTCTATCTATTTAACTCCAATAATTACCAAACTTCACCCAAAAGTCTGGAATATTATTCTAGGAATATTTATAATTTTATTTTTATATTTTGGGCACTTTCGCCAGTACCCATTTGTACCCCTTAATTTTCACTGAGTACACTTTTTAACTCCAAAGTGACTCAGATTCATTTCATTAAGCCTTATACTTAATTTTACTCACTAAAACATGCTTAATTATTTAATTACATGTAATTTTCCAATTACTTAGGTTAGGGCTATTATAGTCACCCCACCTTTTAGCGATTTTGTCCGCAAAATCAAGTACGTACCTGTCCTTAAACTCAGGATATTGCCGGAGAAGCTCATCTTCCCGCTCCCAAGTGGACTCTTCAGGCGTCCTTCTTTCCCACTAGACTTTCACCATAGGAATAGATTTATTTCTCAGCTTCTTCTCATCTCTTTGAAGTATCTTCAGTGGCCCAATAAGAGTCTTCAAATTCTCCCGGATCTCAACATTATCAGGTTGAACCACATGAGAAGGATCAGCTACATATCTCCTCAGCTGAGAAACATGAAACACATCATGCAAATTTGCTAATTGCGGAGGTAAGGCAAGCTGGTAGGCAACCGGTCCCACCCTACGAAGAATCTGGTAGGGTCCAATAAATCTCGGACTCAGCTTCCTCACTCCAAGGGCTCGTCCAACACAACACCCGTAACCGGTGACAGCTTCAGAAATACATGATCTCCCTCCTCAAACTCTAGAGGTCGATGTTTGAGATCATAGTAACTTTTCTAACGATCCTGAGCCTTTTTCAGACGATCCCTAATCATTTTGATCTGCTCAGTAGTCTCCTGAACAAAATCCAATCCAAACCGCTCTGTGTCTCCAACCTCTGACCAACAAGTAGGTGTCCTACACCTGCGACCATACAAGGCCTCGTAGGGAGCCATACCCAGACTAGCATGAAAACTATTATTATATGAAAACTCAACCAGCGGGAGATATCGATCCCATGCAGTACCCTGCTCCAGGGTGCAAGCCCTCAGCATATCCTCCAACGTCTGAATGGTCCTCTCAGTCTGACCATCCGCCTGTGGGTGATAAGCAGTGCTCAGTCTCAACTGAGTGCCAAGAGCCTCCTGCAATGCTCCCCAGAAGAGAGAAGTGAACTTCGGGTCCCGATCACTAACAATGCTCTCAGGCACCCCATTAAGCCTCACAATCTCCTTCACATAGAGCCTAGCCAATCTCTCAGCAGAGAAATCTACCCGAACTGGCAAAAAGTGTGCGGATTTTGTCAATTTATCCATAATCACCCATATAGAATCATAACTAGCCTATGTTCGCGGCAATCCCACTACGAAATCCATGGAGATACTCTCCCATTTCCATTCAGGAACATCCAGAGGTTGCAACATACCAGAAGGCTTTTGATGCTCAATCTTGACCTTCTGACAAATGAGACACTTAGAGACAAATTCGACAATATCTTTCTTCATACCAGGCCACCAGAAATTAATCTTTAGGTCCTGATACATCTTTGTAGCTCCCGGATGAACTGTGAGATGACCCTTATGGGCCTCTGTCATTACTTCCTCCGCCAACTGCCTAGGTACAACAACACGACCCTGATATAATAGTATACCCTCATCATTGCAGGATACACCACTCTGACCTTTCAGTCGTTTAGCACTTTCATTTTGCAGTTGAGCTTCTTTAATTCTGGTCATCAGCTCATTCTCAATGCTTGTGATTTCGATGCCACAAATTTTACATGGAAAGATTTTAGATAATTGAATATCTCTGAACCTCTCAATCACATCATAATCTCTAATCATCATGCTTGATATGCTCACAGATTTACGGCTCAGTGCATCAGCTACAACATTAGCCTTGTCAGGATGATGTTTCAATTCAAAATCATAGTCTTTTAGGAACTCGGTCCACCGTCGTTGTCTCATATTCAATTCCTTTTGATCAAACAAGTACTTCAAGCTCTTGTGATCGCTGAATACTGCAAATTGCATTCCATACAAGAAATGCCTCCACTGTTTCAATCCAAAAATAATTGCAGCAAGCTCAAGGTCATGGGTCGGATAATTTTCTTCATGCGGTTTCAATTGCCTCGACATAAGCTACCACTCACCTATCTTGCATCAGCACACAACCCAGTCCCTTTTTAGAAGCATCGCTATATAACTCAAACTCACCTTCCGGATTGGGAAGTACTAACACCGGAGCGGTCGTCAATTTCTCCTTAAGGCTCTGAAAGCATTATTCACATTCTTGTGTCCAAACAAATGGAGTATCCTTCTGGGTCAAACGGGTCAATGGCAACACCATGGCTGAAAATTCTTTAATGAATCTCCGGTAATAACCAGCCAAACCCAGAAAGCTCCTTATTTCCGTTACTGTCTTGGGTCTCTCCCAATCAACAACTGCCTCTATCTTGCTAGGGTCAACCGCCACTCCATAAGCAGAAATAACGTGACCCAGAAATTGCACTTGAGAAAGCCAAAATTCACATTTAGAAGGCTTTGCATATAACTGTTTCTCTCGGAGAATTTGCAACACAGTTCTCAAGTGACCCTCATGCTCTTCCTTACTCTTGGAATATATCAGGATATCATCAATAAACACAATCACGAATTGATCCAGAAACGGCTTAAATATGCGATTCATGTAATCCAAGATAACTTGAAGGCTGATCATAGGTAAGCAAATAAAATCCAGCACATAATCTCGGCCTTCATATTTAAATTCAACATCCTTACATAAAACTGATGTATAACACTCCTCTCCAGTAGCAGTCACCACTTTCATTGGAGGAGAAATATCGTACATTTGTAAATTTAGCCCAACGGCCATAAAATCAGACATACAAGAGTGTGTAGCTCCTGAGTCAAACAAGACTTCAATATCCATATTATCAATATAAATTATACCTTTCACAAGGTTTGGAGCCTTTTCGGATTGTTGACGGTCCATGGTGTATACTCTACCAACCGTCTGTGACTCCATCATAAGTGGAACAACTGAGACAGGAACAACAGTAGCTTGAACTGCCATAGTCCTCACTTCATGCTGAGGACACTGCCTGGAGTAGTGGCCAGACTTTCCACACTTATAGCAAATAACTTCACCCGTAGCACACGTACCTCTATGCTCTTTTCCACATCCTTTACACTTGGGAAGAGGTCCTCTATCAAAAAAATTCTTTTGAGTTCCGGGCTTTATGAATAAATCGAATGGATTATTCACACTCAGTTTTTTACCTTTCATCTTCTTGTTCTTCCAATAACCTGAGCTAGTTGCTTTATTGGCATTAGGTGCTTGGGCCTCAGAGGGCTTCTTGGTCTGGGACCCCTTGTATACTTCTTCTACCTTTCGGCACTGATTCACAAATCTGCTAAACTCTCGGATGTCACAATTTGACATCTTCCGAGACATCTTCTCATTCAGACCCCATTGGAACTTGGAGGTCATCTCAGCTGGAGTGGGTAAGGCTCTCCCATAGTTAGCGTACTTCACCAATTCGTTGAATTTGGCAAAGTATTGATCAATCGACATTGATCCTTGTTTCAAATCATTGTACTCATTCTGCTCATGTTCCCTAGCCTCCCTAGGAAAGTAATTATCTAAGAACAACGTCTCGAACAACCGCCAGGTGATTTCCCGACCTTCAGCTTCTAAGGGTTGCACTGTATTGGTTCACCAATCCTCAGCTTCCTCTTCCAGCATATACACGGAGTATACCAACTTCATTGCATCAGGGCATCTCATCACCCTGAAGATCTTCTCCATAGCCTGGAGCCATTTTGCTGCCGCCATTGGATCATAGCCTCCCTTAAAAGTAGGAGGTTATGATCATAAAGAGTACCAAAACAACAATAAAGCATCAAACACCAAGCATATATAACAATAATCCACAAGTTTCCCTAAGAAACTGCTCTGATACCATAAAATGTAACACCCCGTTCTAGAACCGGTTTGTTAACATTGCTTTATGATATTAAGCGCAGTTACAATCACATTGGTTCAATTAAAATCCCGGAGAAATTTTTCGTTTTCCTTTTTAAAACTTACTTGTTTTTCCTTTATAACAACGCCGAGTTTGAAATAACCAATTGCGTGACCATAACCTTATACTTTGCGGAATAATCAAAACTAAACTTAACATCATATCATTATTTTGTTCGAGTTCAATACTAGACTCTCTTCACTTTCTATTAAATTGGAATTTCTATACTTACTTTATAGTTCTCATCTTCCAATATGTTATATATCTCTTCGTTATCTACGCGTAGGTTCAAACTGCGCTCAAATCAGAGCACCGTAGCCCAAGTTATGAACTTTCTACGTCACGAGTGCTGAACCCACTGTTTCTGGCGCGATTAGCGTGAAACAACAGAGTGTTTCCCTGTATTTGGCGCGGTTAGCACCAGACTGGCGCGATTAGCGCCGGGAATACGTTCCCTCTCTGTCCCTTGGCGCGGCTAGCGCCAACACGGCGCTAGTAGCGCTAGATTTATGGGGACAACACCAAGCTTGAGTGTTTTAACCCTAACTAGAGTTGTACACATCCAAATTACACAATCTTGGTCTCAATGGAAATCTAAGAAAAAGATCTACCACTTCCATTAAGACACAAGGGTCCAAATCTATCATATGGGATATGAAAATTGGACAACAAGACGGGATATCTTTACTTTTACTTGGATTTTCAATCTAAAGGTCTTCTTTCACCTAATTGAAAATCATATAATTCTTTCAATACATGAATTCTAGTCTTTCAAAGTACTCATACCCTAAGAGAAGCATGCATAACATTTCCTCATACATATATCTCCATTAATTACAACATTACAATACGTCTTAATTACAATTCATAGGACTTAGCTACAAAACAGTATGATCAACTCCTTGGCTCCCATTAACAAAAGAGATACCAAAAGAGATGAGGATAGGCTAAGTCAACCAAAATAAAACATGACATACATATAGCAATTAGATTTCAAATGTAAATCCTATACATAGTATTACTACATGTCATGTATAATCCAAATATGGCCACTTGCCACCAGAGGCTCCTGCAGCATCCTTTCCTGAAAAAGTGTCCCCACAACACGGGGTGAGATATACGAATATATCACAGTAAACCAGGGGTCCTTGGAGCATCTCTCCACCCCATAGTTCAATAACAGTGTAATAGCAATAACAATAATAATGTAATAAATACATATCCATGCAGTGTGTAAACAAACTTCTCCAGGAGAAATCCCTCGAGCTCTCAAGCTGTCCTAAGGATACTCAGATGCAAATAGTCCTACTGGCCAGCTAAACTATCAAGTATGAATTAGGCATCGTCATACAACATACCAACATAGGGAAACACCATCCTCTGTCACACCAAAGCATACACATACGTATAACTAAGCATTAAACTATTTCATTGCATTTATATACACTATCACAACCACTACCCAATCAGGGCTTGGTGGAACAATCAAGGGAATTACACCCAAGGTCCGAAGGCTTACCTCAAAGCTTCAGTTCAACCTTTGTTCTCCACCAACAGGTTCTACAACCAGTCAACTTCGATTTCAAGCTATAACTTGTAAAGTACACACCTACATCAAGGTGTCACAGCATCAATCATGCAATCCCATGAATATTTAGATATCCATCAATACCACAACAACTCTACATTATAACTTAACATGAGCTTACCTATTCCAAAGAGCTAATCAAGCTCCATAGCTAGCTCTAATGGTTGATCACTCACGGTTGGTCCAAATGCCTCAATCCTAGACACCACATGGACACACTTATTATTCAACCCAACCATTGATCATAATGGCAAGAAAACCCACAATCAAGTATCATATTCTTGCAATTTTCAAAGTGTAGTCATATAACTATCTAAGCTCATTTTCACCGATTAAATGTCATTCCTAGCATTTTTCATAACATATACTAAGTCTCAATCCTCCTAGAACATAGTCAATCAACTCACATTATCATAAAACTTCAAAACACTATTCATCAAAACCTAAATCATGTAAACCTCAAGGAATTTGTGTGAAAGAGAGTGGAAAACTCACCACAATGGATCACACAACAAGGAATGGTTGTTCCTCAAGCTTCCATGGAGGTAGAAGTCAACAAATCCCTCACTTTTTCCTAAGGTTCGGATTTTTGGAGGTTGAAATCTCACTCCACAAAGACTCCCACTCAAAACCAAGCTTTGATTGTGAAAGAGGGAAATATTTGGAGTGGTTTAGGCTTTGGAATGGATGAATTTGGCTAAGGTTTGCTCAACCTAGGGTTTCCCCTTTTCCTTTCTCTTCTCCTTCTTTCTTCCTTCCTTTCTTTCTCTCTTCTGGAGCACGACGGGTTGGGGAAGGGATTTGGGTTCTTTTTTTGTGTTGTATAGTCACTTAACATAAGTTAAGTGGGATCAAGTGGGTATTAGTTCATCTATCTATTTAACTCCATTAATTACCAAACTTTACCCAAATGTCTGGAATATTTTTCTAGGAATATTTCCACTTTTATTTTTATATTTTGGGTACTTTTGTCTACACCCATTTATACCCCTTAATTTTTACTGAGTACACTTTTTACCTCAAAAGTGACCCCAATTCCCTTAATTAGGTCATATACTTAATTTTATTCACTATTACATGCTTAATTATTCAATCACATTTAATTTACTAATTAATTAGGTTAGGGCTATTATGCCAAACTTAAGACTGTGGTAGATGAAGCCAAGTCTTAATAAGGGTAGAGGCGAGAGAAGTTGGGCTCAAGTTAAAGAGCAAAGACCTACTCCCCAAACTTAAGATTGTGGCAGATGAAGCCAAGGCGGAGTAAGCCGGGCTCAAAAGGAAAAGACAAAAATCGCCTACCTAAGAACTTTGGCAAAAAGAAGCCAAGTTACAATTAAAATAAGTCAAGGAAAACTACGTTAGGCTTAAATTGAAGAGGCAAAAACTGCTCCATAAACTTAAAACTTTGGCAAAATAAGCCAAGTTGCAATTAAGTCAAAAATAGGCCACGACAAAGGAAGCTGGTTTTAGCAAATGAAGGCCCACAATGAACTGTGTCGGTCAAACAACTCAATCTAAGGTTCAAGCCACGAGTTCGAACCCCACCAGTGCCTCCTCTGGGGCCAAGGCAGATATTATTTTCAGGGAAAAATAAGTCGGGTTCAAATAGTCAACATAACAAAATGTTAAAAGAGGCTCAACGCCATGGGCTGAGCCCAAGTAACTTAAACAAAAGATGCATCACAAATAACCAAGCAAAAATTGAAAAATGGCTATATTTAGAGAACAAAGATCGGGAATAAACTCGACGATGTACTCTACATCCCAAAAAGAAGCTCAAGGCCCTCACAAAGGAAAAAGTAGAAAGATTACAAAATAAGTCGACACTCCGACATACAGTTACTCGTCCAAGCCTCGGACGCATACGTTTCACAACACCATCACTGCACACACAGTGAAAGGGCAGCACACGTCCCTCAACACACCCCACCAATCAATGTAAGAAACGGGTAAAGGCGTAACTGATGGAAGGGGCATGGAAAGACCAAAAGCCATCATCTTGGACGACCCCAGTAGGTCGGCTCAAGAACACAGACCACAAGAACATGAAAAGAGCATGAAAGGCTATAGAGCCAATGCCCTGGTGTTCGTCCCTCAATAAGTCGCCTCAGTTAGCTCAATCAGGATAGACATAGCAGTTTACAAGAAAACCAGCCACTCCAGAACCAGATCTCGACCTATAAAGTTGAGACAAACGACAAGCAATCTGGCATATGTGACTGAATCCTATAACACCTCACATATTTGAAATGTATTATCAATAATTTAATTATAGGTTAGAGGGTTTAATTAGTGAAAATCCCAAGTCTTAGGTCAAAATACACACGAATGGTAAAATGATAATTAGAAAAATACGTAACCCTAACTTGTGAAATGGTAAAATTAGACATTATTTGATGAAAATAATAATAGATTTGGATTCAGAATAAAATTTGGAGTGGATAGGCACTTTTCAGAAAAATTGATGAATAGTGATTTTTACTAGATAAAATACCATGGTATAATTCTATCGGGAAACTCATAAATGAGATTACTGCTCTAGGATTGTATATATGTTGAAAGAGGTATTTAGAATCAAGAAAAATGATTATTGAAATTATTCCGTGAATTTTCGTGATTTTTAGGGAAACGTACCGAAAGTACATAACTAGGGGTAAAATCATAAATTCACCAAATTATCAGAAAATTTTAGATTCATCTGTTAAAGTGAATTTAATGGACTTTAGTGAATGTTGAATTTAGGATAATTAGATGATTCATGAATTAATTGGTGATTAGTAGGTTAAATGAGTAGGTTAAGTGGAATTTTGTCTTATTCTAGCCTTTATGGCAATCCAAGTGAATAAACCACTGATGAATAGTGCCTTCGGTTCAAAAAAATTTGATCTCTCTTCCTCCCTCACTTGCACAACCCGCAGCCTCTATGTAAATAGGACAACGAGAGTTTTAATTTTCCATTATATTATCTAGATACATCTTGCCAAAAGTTCCAACATCAAAGTTCTTTGTCATCCTATTATTGTGAGTGTCTTTCATCTTGTGAGTTTCTCTTGGAGTGCATTGTGAGAGGAGTTACTCCTCGTTGAAGGCCACAACCTAGGGGTGTGTATGGGTAGCTTTGGAGCTCACTTGACTTGATTAAATACTTGGAAACTCATCCTAAGAAGCTTAGGAGTCCATTAGTGGTAAGTAGTCCAACTTTCCTTGAGTTTTGTTGAG